TGAGCCACTTTATTAACAAACATTTGAGCTGTCTCACATACATGCTTGCTGCAAAATAATCCCCACTTACTACATATCTCTGTGCAACAATTGACCTGGGATAGACAGCTCCCACCTGACTAGATATTGTCAGTATGACTCAAGAGCACCGTGCAAATTCTCACTGACACCAGCCCTGTGTGAGAAGTCCCCAAATCTGCACTTGTACTTGGCAATATTCGACTTTTAAACCACCCTATGGGCATACATAAGGATGTTTCATCCATTTACACTTGCATTTTACTGGTTACCACTGAATTAAAAAAGGGTGTTCGTAGTCTGTTTGCTATTCAGGTTGCTTCTGTTATATAGAAAGAATGCTTGCATGTTTTTCTATTCACTTAGTGATTTTTTGGGGCTCCTTAGGAAAACCACCCATTTTCACATCATCAGATGTGAACCTTCCTTCCTTCCTTTCCTCCTTTCTTTTTCCCGTTCCTCCCCCTTCTGCCCTCGCTCTCATAAGCCCATTTCCTCACCACCCTCTCTTATACACTGTCCTTGACTCTGGGAAATTATACTCTGACTCTTGCTAAACCTGCTCTAATTCTATGACACATTTTCTACGTTAAATGACCTTCTGTGAGGTTTGGAAACCTCAGAAAGTATTTTTGAATCAATCTATCGCTGCGGCAAAGACAATGACAGTGGTGACCATGTTGATGGTGAATTTCATCATTGTAATAACCCTCTGTGTGGCCACTTATAACTTTCTAAGTTCTTTCCTGTCCATTATTTATTCTTCTCCTAAATTAATATAGGTTTAAATTTTTGATTAAAATATTAGGAAACTGAGCAACAAATGACCGGCCCAAGGTCACACACTTGTCTTGGAGGGAAAATGGAAAAGCAGCTCCTTTTGCCGGCCAATTCTCCTTGGTTCCACAGGAGGAAAGAAGATTAATCCAAATAAGTCCACAGTCTCTTGGACCCCACATACAATGCGGTTGTCCCATGGTCAGGACATAAACTGAGGCTGACAAGCTGGAAGCCTGCCCTGAAACTAACAGAAAAAATGGTATTGTGAAATCTTAAAGTGCATGCTTTTCCAAGAAAAGATTATTCAAAGAGAAAACTGCAGGGGGCAGGATTTCCTCTGAATTGAAGCATTTCAGTGTAAACTAATCTGGTGTTTTACTGACTTGATTATCTGTGTGACCCAAATGGAGCAGGAAGCCTGACCCAGAAAGTCAATCAAACTCAGGTAACATTAGCCAAGAGGCAGGGTGGTCATTCTCCTGTACCATCTTCTGAATGTGTCAGGCGGCAGAGGAGAAGTGTGTCCACAGGGGAATGGGATTTTAGGCAGAAATTATCAAATAACAAAGTGTCCTGGGCGAGTGACAAAGAATATTGATGAAGATGCTAAAATGAGTCACAGACAAAATATTAACAGGACTGAATAAAGCCTAGGAAAAGACTGGGGGAAGCATGGCTGACCTGCAGGAATGTGGTGCAGGTCAATCTCAGAGCAGGCAAAGGTGTCAGAGTGTGCAAGAATGGGAGGATCAAGAATGGAGGCAAGCCCTAGCCGGCTTGGCTCAGTGGATAGAGCGTCAGCCTGCAGACTGAAGGGTCCCAGGTTCGATTCCGGCCAAGGACACATACCTGGGTTGTGGGCTCATTCCCCAGTAGGGGGTGTGCAGGAGGCAGCCAATCAATGATTCTCTCTCATCATTGATGTTTCTATCTCTCTCTCCTTCTCCCTTCCTCTCTGAAATCAATAAAGAAATAT